TTTGACAAATTGAAAGTTATTTGAATTAATAAAAATATGTGCTTTTAAAATATAATTTTGAATATGTGATGACCAAAAAGGACTCTCATTTATGATAATTGGTAATTTTTATTATATAAATATAATATATTAAAAATGTTTAAAAATAGAAAAAAATTTAAAATAACATAAAATTTAATATGTTAAATAATAAGAATAAAAATATATAGTTCAATACTGAAAAACATTAAAACATAATAAGGGTGTTATGATCATTTATAAAAGTAAGTATAATTCAACTCCCACATACAATTTCAAATCCGCCGAAATATAGAGTTGGCAAATCCACATTTCAATCCCACATTTATAATAAGTTTGTGTTTGGTTATTTGTACATGTAATTTGTCAAAAAATTAGTTGCAATTTTTTTATATACAAATCAAGGATAGCATGATCATATTATAAATTAATGAATCAAATTTAAAAAGCACATCTAAAAAGTTAAAAAAATCAAGTTAGACAAATTTATATTCAATAATTTTTTTAAAACACATTCATACAAGTATTTTTATCATATTTTTTATATTCAAGCAACTTTTAATTTGTAAAAGATGTCAAAAAATACTTTTTAAAAGTTGAAAATGAAGTTATCAAAAGGATCTTTTTTGACCATAAATTTAAAGTCATATCAAAAAGGGTTAACACTTTTTGGAAGCGTTTGACTTGTTCGCTTTATCAGTCTCACTTTTGTAATCCTGTCGTTATCCATTGATGATGCTTTGTAAGTTTACAGGCCTCTAATTGGCCAGAGGACAAGCAAATATTTTGTTGGCAGGATCAACAAAAGCGATGTGTGTGTGTTTTTATACTTTATACATATTTGGTAATTTGGATATTAAAATGGATTCTGTGCAGATACCCTAAAAGTCTGGGATAGGGTCTAGAGACATGATTGTTATGTTACTTCATTGCCACAGGCCCATTCAGCTTACATTTTTCAATGTTACTACTATTAATATAAATCAAAGTAATGATTTTATTGTTATTGGGATTCTTGACAAGTGCCATATTCTGAATAGTGTGATTCGAGCAATTAAATAAACCATAATAGCTCATTCCTACCCAACCATGATGCATGTCATTTTCGTAATACGTATTCAAAACCCAACAAGGCGCGTACAGAAGTTTTAGATCCTAGCGCAAAATTATTTTGAGAGGTTTAATGCATTTAAATTTTTTATTTGACATTTTTACCACTTTAAATGCTATATTTTTTTAAAAAACCATAATTTTAAATAAAAAGTAATATAAACAGTAAAAGTGGAACAAACACACCTGAAGTGATCGCTACCTTAAGTGTGTGTTTAGTTTTTAGTTTATCAAAAGCTTATTTGATAAAAGTCAATTTAGTGAAATGCAATTGTTGTAACGAAATTTGTATTTAAATATTTTTTTTAAAGTTAGTTTGGTATATTAAAAGTTGCTTGATTTGTGATAGTAAAATGTGCTTTTGAATATACAATTACTAAAAAAAATATTAATTTATGATGATTTGTAATTTTTATTATATAAATGTAATATATTTAAAATATTTAAAAAATGTGATAAAGATTTTAAATAACATAAATTTTGATTTATAATGCTAAAAATTTGATCTCTAATTCTTTGTATTTTTTTACTTCGTAATTTTAGAAAATGTGATATAGATTTATAATTTTTATTATACATTAATGCTAAAAATTAACATGATTAATTATTTAATTTATAATGCTAAAAATAATTATATTTTTAATAAATTAATTATTTTTTAAATAAAAGAATAAGAGATAAACTTGTGGTAGTATAGTCAAATAATATCCTACTTTTTAAATTCACTTTTCAAAAGTTTTAAATAGTTACATTTTAAATATTCACTTTTAGCTATTGTTTGAATATATTTTTAAGATGTGTTTTCTTACAAAATATTTTACCCAAACAACTTTCAGTTTTTTGAAAGTAAAATTTTGCTTTCTGAATGTAAAAAGTAAGAAAATCAAATGAACCCTAAATCTATTATTAATGTTTTTTGTTTTGATTTCGATTAAATAGCAAGCAAGAAATTCCTAATAAGCAAAAATTATTTAGCAAATGAGTAATAATGCAACAAGTTTAAGTAGCAAAGTAATAGCTGCTTTCAAAAAGAAGATGATAATAGCAACAATTCGATTGAGAAGGAGGGAGAAATGAGAAATGATGCTAACAAAGAGGTCCCCCGTCCATTCTGTATATTGTAGCAATATGTTAATGTTGCCTCTCTAAATGGCTAATTGATATTGAGAAATGAGAATGACAGGTATAGTGAAGTGTAGGTCAATAAATTATTAATGGAAAGATATAATTAATAGTAATACTTAACAGTAAAAATAATGACCGAAGTTATATTGAATATAAGCAAATTTTTTTGAGGCTTAAAGCAATTGCCTCATTTGCCTGACAATAAACACGGTTCTGATTCCCAAAATGGGAACACACAATTTCTGGTTCAACATTTTTATATGATAGATGTTACCCACTTGTGGGATGTCAAAACATGAAAGTTTTTTGTTTTGTTCAATGAAGTAAAAAAGTTTCTTTTTATGAGATATATGTTATCTTCTTTTGCATTGTTATTAATATGCTTACATGCATCCATTTTAAGTAATACAATTTTCTCATAAGGTACATAACCATGAGAAACCGTAGGTGCGTGGTTAAAATAAGAAGATCCATGAAAATTTAGAAACAAAATTCATATTAACAATGAAACTTTAATGAAATTAGAACCAAAAATTGAAAGAAACAAGAAATGAAATCAAAGGTGACTTCACGACAACCATGATTTATGTCTCAAGTGACATTGGAGACGCATTCATGGCATGTGACGATAGAGGAGGAGGCAGTGGATCACTCATCCCCGATTATTGTTGGGCAGAAATGGCTGCCATGGATTGCTAGAGTTAAGAGAAAGAGAGAAGAGAGAAGGATGGTGAATGAATTGATGAACATGAAGAGACAAACAAAGAAGCATGAATTAAATTTTTTTTTATCAAGTTAGTCTATTAAATTTACTTTGATTATCAATTTGATCTTCATTATCTTAAAAAGTAGATTACATTGTTAAAAATTATTGATGCGAATAATAAAATATTGATGGTAGTTATACATATTAATAAAAAGAAGTAAAATTACTTGGTTAAAAAATGGACTTTGAAATAAAAAAAAAAGAGAACAAAACACTGTATAAGAAATTATATTGATAAAAATTAAATTAATGTAAGGGTTAATTTGTTCTTATATGGCTACATATACATGTTAAGTTATCAATATACTCTACACATTATATTATTTGAAGAGTCAATTTATGTTTTAAAATTTAAAGAACTTGCACAAAAATATTATTATTTTAAATTAAATAAAAATTAAACTTAAAGGGATAAATTAATAATTGAAAGAAATTTAAGAGACTAAAAGTTTTATTATTTTAAATTGACAAAAACAAATTTTAAATATGTATGCATGGACTTGGCCCATTGGACAAAATTTAATTCAACTCTACTAAAATGTAGCGAATAAAAGCGATTGGTTATCAAGATCCAGCCCGATAATCCAAACCCAACTTAAGTGCATATTTTAGTGAGGGTTTCAAATTTTTAATTTGGGAATTGAGAGGTGTGAGAGGTCAGGGACGGCCATTGCTTCTAGTCTACCATTTAATTTTTCAATATTCATTCATATAATAATATTCATATTTATAAAAAACAATATTCATATTTTAATCAACTTCGAGGACCCACACCGAATCTCCTCATCTACACACTGTCATATCAAGGTATTTTTCTTTTTTTTTTTCCTTTCTAAAATATTTATCTTCCTTTTACTTTGTATTTATTAGTTTAAAGCTACATTTTCTAAATTGAAAAATACATTCATAAAAGAAAGAATCTTGAAACTTCACGATAACTTGATGGAGATTAAGTTGTTGAATTTTTAAAAATTGAACCTTAAAAGCATGATTGCAAATGTCATCCTACATAACTTTTAAGAATTTAAATTTAAATTAATGAAAATTTTGATATCAACTCTTTAATTAAAACAATAATTTTCACTTGGAGTCCATTAATCTTATTCCTCACAGCAAGGTGAAGTAAGTTTGGTTAAAACATACAAAACTCTGTTAAACTTTATAATTGTTACACAAACCAGCTCACTTTTAAAGTTAAAAATTAACCTTCCTAATCTTTTATTTTATTTTATATCACAGACTCTGATATCTTTATTTTTTAATTATTAATAGAAGTTATTACATCATATTAAGAAAAAAATAAAGCAACTTATATGACATCCTAGGTAAGTTAACAATAACTTTATAAAAAATTTATCAATATTTTTCTATTATTAGTGGTGTATGTTTTTTTTATTTTAAAGGATAAATTTTTATTTAAGTGATCCCTCCTTAAATTGTGTTGAAAAATAATTAAAATATTTTTTTATGTAAGGTGTCTTGTATATCTCATTAATTCAATATGACGATGTCTCTTAATAAGATAAAATGGTAGGGAGCTTTTAAAAAAATAATATAAAAAGTTAGTAAGATTAATTTTAAATATTTAAAAGTGAAAAAAATTATGTGTAACTGTATTCAAGTTTAATAGTGTATTGCATACTTTAGCCAATAAATTTAAGGTGACATATGATCAAAAAAAAAATTAAATTGATTTATTATCGTACGAAGTGAAAATTAGTACTCACACATATATTTACGAAGGAAACCAGGGTTATAGTAACTTTCTAAACAAAATGATAATTTTATTCAAAGACAATAATATTAAATATTACAAAATATGATTAACTATGAGTTTAGTTCTCCAATGACGCCCTCGCAGAAGAAACCCAAACCGCCATTACAAAGCAAAACCCGGAACTGATATTAAATTATTAATTATTGTAAAAATAAATATATTATTAACTAATTAAGCTCATAAAAATAAGGCGGCAGCGCCAATCTTAAGCGTGAGCAAACCCTAATCCAACGGTCGTTTCAAAGCGCTGACCTTTGCGGTGCGGGTCTTGCTGCTTCGCCGAGTAGGCTCATGGTCTCATCATCGTCTCCGACGTGAAGTTGAGGAAGGTCTGGATGCTCGAGCTTTTCTCTCCCTAGCGCCTTGTACCCTTGAGACCCGTTCGAGAGGACGAGATCACCGCCATGGTTGAGTCCATCTTCAAGGACTGCACAAATCCTGGTACGCTATTCGTCCTTGTTACTTCTTGTGGGTCTATATAATTTTGGTAGCCTAGAGATGATCTGATTATTCTTCCACCGCGCTGTGTTTTGTGCTCTCCTCTCTACGAAACAGAGGATAAGTAGAATCAAGAGAAAACGCCAGAACCCAACAACTAGAAGTCGATCTGGTACCTTCATCCGAGTACTCAACAACTAGAGTCATCTCCCCTTATCCTTTTAGCTTTTGTCGGTCGAGTAGCTTATTCGAACGTTGTGAACTCAGCTGTGCTTCTACGTTGTCTAGGATTTCTACGGACCACTATCCAAGGACCGAACTCGTTCCCCATCGGTACTTCCATTGGCCTTCCGTTCTTTGCAGCAGGATGAATTCACGGCGGTTTATCTTGTGGCGATGGTGCCGGATTTGCAATTTGCGTTACATTAATGAGACAGATCCATTAGTTCCATTTCCGCTTTTTCCCCAATTTCCCACGCCTTCTGCGAGGCAAAACCTCGCCATAGTACACTTCGACACAAGAGAAGAGGACCGGGAATAGCGAATGCAGGCACAAGAGAAAGGGTAATTTACCTTCTGGGATGAATTCTGACAGCTCTTGCCGAAATCTAGTATAGCCATGAGCCTAGATAGAATGGGCGGGGGAAGAAAAACTAGGAGCGAGCTACAAAATAGGGGGTTGCCAAAGGCCATCTCAATAGAGCCATTTTGTCATTGAATCGATGGAGGGAAGACTCCTTCGGTAGGTGCCCCTGACTCTTCCTGTTTCATGGATGAGATCTTAACAGCCATTGAAAGATTCCTAGTTTCAGTCAAGCGTCGGGTACTTTTTGTTGAGGAAATAAGATAACTTTGGTACTTTACTAATATTGCACAATGCTTGGTTGATTGATTAGATTCCAATTTTGACCCTTCATCTACACTTACAATAATTCATAAATGTGGTATGGTAATGGGTTTAATGGACTTTTTACTAATCGGATTGCGGGCATAAAATGGGCATCAGTATCAATGTATAAAAAATAGTATCTCTGTTAAGTTGCTCGCTGGTTATGATTTGCGGAGTTTTGTCTCTTGGATCACACACGGTTCAGAGAGAAAATGTCATATTTAGGGGAGAAAATGTATGGTGAGATTTTACACACACGCACACCCCATTGTTTAGAAGTACTAGTAGTAATTATAATTAAGTATGGTCTGGGAATTCGAAGGGGATGGGGAATTTCTTACAAGTTAAATATGGGTTTTGGGATAGTGACGGTAGTATCCCACCTATACCTTACTCAGAATCAGAACCTTCTTGAGGGGTGATGTGGTGGTGGGATTTACCTGAGTGTAAGTGTGTATGATTATGTGCTTTATTTTTATACTTGATATACATTAAATGTATTAAAATTCAATGATAATTGCATTTTTTCGTGTCTGTTTGTTAAAGAATTCTAAAATTCAATTTCCTGTTTATTAATTACTTTGGCTCGTAATTACTATATGTGAATATAGAGGATTCTTCTTTTATCAAATCAATTATACAACTTGATGGTTTCAAGAATTTTATACTTCCAGGTTGTGACTGGGCTGGAGTTTGTTCCTTCGTACGCAAAAGCATCATTGTTTTAGCAGTCAGTTGAGGAAGATAGTGACGAGGAGCTGGAATTTGCTGACAATAATGGTGGTATTGTTAACTCTTCATGAAACTTCTGACTTCCCAGTGTGTTTTTTCACTTTTTTAGTTATTAATACTATCGGGATTACAATTACTGCAAAAGATAGTAAATTAATCCTATTGGTGGCTGATAGTGCAAAGAAAAATAAGGGTCAGGGACCTTTTTTTCACTTCTGTTAATAAAAGGTGAAACATGAGTTGGCTTGTAATTACTGTAAAAGCCAATCTTAGCCATTTTCCACCTTTAAGTGGGTGGCTAATTGACATAGTTTCACTGCTTGTGACATGGCCAATTGGTTTGAGGGATGATAGCAGAGAGCGAATGCATGGTTTTGAGGGGATGGTAGCATGTCCTGTTGGTTGCCGATGTTATGTGTTTTCCTTGTTTGACAGGGACATGACTGCGTTGAAGCTCAACAATATAGTGCCTCATTTCTCAATGAGTTGGCCGTGAAAATTTTCTTTGATTCTTACAGAACAAACTTTAGGTTTCCTTCTCTGTGTGTGTGTGTGTGTTAATGTACAATTTGATTTTTCTATGTTACTACATCTGTATCTGTCGTCCTGAAAGTGTGAAGAAGTGTACACTCCAGCAAGCGAAATAAAAATGGGTAGAAAGGAAGAATTGAGGATATGATATTTATGTTCAACTCAAATCGATTGTTAAATAAAGTTATCCTTTCTACCACTTTGTAGAGAATTTTCTTTTTGGCGTAATATGGTGCTTTTGCTTATTTTGATGTTGGCATGCCATGATGCTTTGCCGAAACTTCATTGTTAAGAACTTGAATGTATTTGGAAGATCAACTATGGTGTCTGCTTACTATGGCATCAAGGTCGGTGACTTGCAGGGTTAGCATCATCAATTGATATTATTTGTCACTTTTGATGTTCTTTTTTCATGGCAGATACAGAGTTCTTTAAAGGTCTGGTAAGGATATCCTCTGGTTTTCTGCATGTAGTTTATGATGCATCAAGAGGATCTTCCAGCTAATAACTTCTATACCATCTGATACGCATTTATCGAGGACAAGAAAATGAAAAATGATTTTTCTATTGATGATGGCTTTCCATTTAAATTGATTTCCGATTTGATTCTTAATCCAATGATACTTCCATTTAGATTGTTTGTAATTGTAGTTTTAAAAACTTTCAAATCTAAATCATCAAATTCAATCCAATGGTTCACAATTGTAGTGGTTTCTCCACCCACTAAGTGGAGAGAAACCACCTCCCTCGAACCACAGATATTCATTGGCTTTGGCTTCTCTTTTGATCTTTTGGTTTTATTATCTCTTGTGCTTTTATAAGGAACAGAACCATTTGATCATGAGATATCCTGAACATGTTTTTTTCCACTTACATTAACGATGAAAATCTAACCAATGGTTCACTTGAATCTGCAGGCTGCTAAGGAGAATAGAACCTCTTTGCCTCCAGCAGCTTTGTTTGTTATCAGATATCATTCTTTCTATAGTTAGAATGTTCTCTAAGTCCTATGTACCTGGTCAATGTTTTCCTTTTTCGTTCTTTGTTTTTTTTTTTTTTTTGGGTGTGATACATTGTCAATGTTTTCTATTCTGCAAGCAAATGTTTTTACATTAACACACTAAATTTTGCAGCTTTGCATAAGGAAGGGGCGTACAGATACTTGATGAATGAAGAAGACATTGAGAGTCTGAAGCGGGTCAAAATATTCAAGTAAGCTTCTGATAATCTGAAAGCAGCTTTTTAGTCTGTGATTAATTAGATCTTGCCAGGTTAACATGCTAATTTTAAGGCCTTTACTATCAATAAGAATGAAAAGCGATATATATTCAGGAGCACCACTAACTTAAAAAAAAAACTACACACCTGCCATGACTGACTGCAATGGGAAAACCGGCAGATTTGATCAACTCAATCTCTGTTTGAGTATTAGGACTAAAATGTGAATTTTATCAAGAATAAAATCAAATTGATGATAGTAATTTTTGAAGGGGGGGCCTAAATGTGTGTGGTTAACAACTTATTGTAGGAGTACTTCGTGGCTTTGTTCCCTAACCATGTCCATTAATGATGTTCGTCATTCTTCAAAGGAGTGTTTTTGCTAATATTGAAGTTTGTGCATCTACAGCTTAAGCATCACTATCAACGGATGCAGACTAACGGTGACATGCGTATTTCAATGCCCATACTCCCTCTGATCCTAGTAATCGGGCATTTTAAAGATCATTCTACATGGGTTTAAGATCTGTAGTTTTTGAAATTATAAAAATCACTTCAGGGATCAACTAGAAAAGGTCTATATTATCTGCATTTGGTATCTTCTACTCCGCATTTTTGTAATAGAGATGTCTTATTTGGTACATTATGAATGTGGTTTATTTTAAAGTTATTTGCCTTTAATTATTGTCCATGAAAAATAGTTCCCCTTCAAAATTAGTGCTTTAAATTTTAATATATTTTTGATTCTTGGTGTTGCATTTATTTAATATTTAATGTCTAACTGTTAATTTATAATTAATTTTTGAGCTCCTTTTTTGGCCAAAATTAACTTTTGAGTTTCTCAATAATAATATCTATATTCTTTAGCCAAAAATATATGTTCTATTAAAACATGATTTATGCAACGCAGCATTGTTAATTCCCCCCCCCCCCCAAAGATTTTGAATAAGCAGTCATTAAAACAATATTTTTCATTTAGAGTCCATTAATCTTATTCCTAGCAACAAGGTGAGATATAAAATTGATTTATTATCATAACAAGTGGAAAATTACACACACACAGACTTTACAAAAGAGGCCATGGCTTTTGCACACACATGCTCTTTTTCTTTGGTGGCTTGTCAAGGTAATGAAGCTGTTAATTGGTTAGCACTGATGGGTTGTAGAAAGATGTGTTCATTTAGATGGCTTTTGGAAGCTACATCTTCTTTATTCAATTTATTACATATTGATTTAAGGATTGCTATAGGTTTTAATGTTAATGACTTTTATGATTGTTGGAGCAGAACTGGAATTGGTTAGTCTTTTTGGTAGCTGTTTCTTGCTGCTGCTTCTTTTTTTCCCCCTTGCTTTCTCTTTTGTGAGCTTGTGTGTTAGTTTGTATTTAGCTTTTTTTGAGTGTTTTTTTGGCTTCAGTTATTGGTGTTTGTAATTTTTTTTTCTGTGATTAATAAAATTGGCTCTTTTTCTAGTAAAAAAAAATAATTATGATATTTTTATTAAAAGATAATGATATTAGATAATGATATTAAATATTAGTAAATATAATTAATTATGAGCTTAGTTTTTCAATTACTCCCACGTAATTATGAGTTTAGTTTATGTAATCTTTTTATTTTATTCTAATGATAATTGTCTTTTACCCAAAAAAAAGGAAAAATATACTTGTAAGTCCTTAAAGTTTTACTTAATTTTGAATTAAGTTCCTGCAGCTTGTTTTATTTTAATGAAGCCCTTATAGTTTCATCTATTATATATATTGATTCTTGAAAGTTAAAATTAATAATGAATTATTAAATTTTACAAAACAAAAATATTCTTAGAGTTTGCAGAAAATTTAATTTAATATTTAGCCACAATTGAAAAAAATAGATTTAATTCACTATTTATATTTTTATTATAATTTTTTATGAAAACTATACATGTATAAAAAATATCTAAAAGACATTATATAAATTTTGAGTTATAAAAATTAAGTAATTAATTCTAAAGTCATATAATTAAAAAAAGTATAAAAGAAAAAAATGTAAGAATTTTAAATTTTAAGAATTAGAAAAATTTAATTAATGAAATTATAAGGATTCAATTAAAATAAAATAAATTGTAGGAACTAATTTAAAATTAAGTAAAATTATAAGAACTTGTAAATATATATATATATATATATATTTTTAAAAAAAATTACACCCTCACAAAAAGCTCAAACCATCATTTCAAAGCTGACCTCAATATAAAATTATTATTATTATAAAATATTATTAATTATGCTCATAAAAAGAAGCCAATTCCGTAGCGCCAATCTTAAGCAAACCTTAATTCCAACGGTCGTTTCAAAGTGCCGACCTTTGTCGTGCGGGTTCCGTTGCTACGTCAAGTGGGCCAGAGAGGTGCTGAAGGAGCACGATCAGCAATTGGCCGGCGGCCAAGTTTATCACAGACAGCAAGGATCTCATTCGGCTGATTATGGGCATCACTATGTGAAGGTGAGGATGGCCTAAACGCTCTAGCTTTTCTGTCCCAATCGCCTTGAAGCCTTGAGACCTATTCAAGAAGACGAGGTCACCACCATGGTTGAGCCCATCTTCAAGGACACCACAACTCGTGGTATGCTATCTTTCCTTGTTACTTCTTTTAGATATGTAATCACGATTCACAAAGAAAATGTCATATTTAGGGGAGAAAATGTAATACGAAATCGATATTTCTATAGTGAGATTTTATATACACATGATTGTTTAGAAGTACTAGTAGTAATAACAAGTGCGGTCTGGGAGTTCGAAGGGGATCGAGATTTTCTTACAAGTTAAATATTGGTTTGGGGATAGTGACCGTAGTATCCTACCTGTTCCTTACTCAGAATCAGAACCTTCTTGGGGGCTGATTTGGTGGTGGCATTTATATGAGTAACAAGTGTATAACTAAAGCCCTTAATTTTGTCGTATGATCACGTGCTTTATTTTTATACTTGATATACATTTGATGTATTAAAATTCAGTGAAATTTGCAATTTTCCGTGTCCTTTAGTTTGTTAAAGAAATCTAAAATTCAATTTCCTGTTTATTAATTACGTTAACTATTAATTACTATATGGGATTATAGAGGATTCATCTTTTATCAAATCAATTATTCAACTTTAGCTAGCCTTTTTTCTTTCTCTTAAATCCATGTCTTGCGATTTTTTGAAGCATCAAATGTAGTACATGGGAAATGACAATACTTTTTTTTTTCCTTTCCAAAAATACACGTCGTCGCTTTTTTACTTGAACTTGCATTTGTAATGCACTCCTACTAGGCTTAGTGATGTTTGTATCATTTAATATCTAATCAAAATGTGCATAAATACAATTATTGGGGTTTACCTTTGATCTTCAGCTTAGTCTTTCCATGTCTTTGTTGCTTGTTGCCCCTGTACACATACATATATGTTTGGAAAATTTCTCTTGTATTCTCATTTACAAAGCTTGATTCCCATTACATCATCTGTCACTTGTTTTGATGGTTCTCATACAAATGTGAGAGTGTTTTGACTATTTTGAATTTAAACATGGATTATAAATGTGGAAATATTCTGATGGTTTTGAATTCTTTAACTTTAATTGTAAACGTGGGAATGCTTTGATGGTTTTAGATTTTTTAACTTAGAATTTGACGGTTCTTGTACAAATGTGGGAATGTTTGAATCGTTTTAGATTTTTTAACTTAAATTACACATGTGGGAATGTTCTAACTATTTTGGGTTCTTTAATTTTGATTACAAATGTGTGAATGTTTTGACCACTTTTGATCCTTTAATTTTGAATACAAATGTTAGAAAATTATGACCTATAGAAATGTTGGTGTAACCCTTTTGGATCCTTGAAATGGGAATACAAGTGTTGGAAAATTATGATTTTTGCAAATGTGAGAAAATTGATCATTTTAAATCTTTGAACTTGAAAGGCAAATGGGGTAAATTTGTGACCTTTTTGTTAAAAATACATATTTGACTTTGTAAATGGCCCTTGAATCGTTTGATACTTGTTTTGAATGTTCTTGCGAGAAAAGTGGGATCGGTTAATACTTTTGAACTTGACTTGTTGAGTTGCCTTATTTTTTCTTTACCGTCATGTCTTGAGATTCTTTGAAGTAGCATATGTGGCATATATGATAAATGACAATACTTTTTTTTTTTGAAAATATATGTCCTTGATATTTTATTTGAACTTCCATCTTCAATGCACTTCTACTAGGCTCATTGATATTTGTATCATTTAATGCTTGATCTAAATGTACATAAATATAATAGGGTTCTACTTTTTCTCTTCAGCTTAGACTTTCCATATCTTTACTATATGTAGCCCCTGTACATATACATATTTGTTAAATCTTTATTGTTTGTGCACTTGCAAGCCTTGATGCTCATTACATGATGTGTTGCTCATTTTGACAGCTTTTATATAAGGGTAAAGGGGCAAAAATACCCACAAAATAGTCAGCAATGGGCACCCAGTATCCTAAAGTGACAAAAAGGACAAAAATATCAATAACGTTATATGGATGGGTGCAAAAGTAATCAAACGGTTAACTTTGACCATTAAATACTGACTGTGCATGCCACGTGTCAGTCTTTGCTGATGTGGACTAAAAAGGAGCAAAAATACCCATGAAGTCATCGGCCAGGAGTAAAAATACCCATAACGTTATCAGAATTGGTGCAAAAGTGACCAGTACATTCAATCCCTTAAATGTTGACTATTTAGTTAACACTTAAGTAGAAGTTGACTATTTTTTTACTGATATAGACAAAAAATATTTCAAAATAAATTTTTACAGATGTTGATCGATTATTGTATGAGTACCTATAATGTTACTTTAATAGGTGCAATAGTGACCAATCTGTTAAAATAAATGCTATATGATTTTTACCACGTATCTCGCCCCTTTTATTTCTCCTTATTTACTCATTTTTCTTGTTTTTAAAACTTGAGATTTAATATAGTAAGATAGGTTGTTCAAAATCAAAGATCAAGATTGAGCGCATCTAACTTAGGAACATTGTCACAACCTTAAGCAATTGCATTCATGATAGATTCAAAATTTTTAAATGATTTTTGCCACTGTAGCAAAAAAAAAAAACAAGCAATTTAATTTGATATTCAGTCAAAATGACATTTTCTTACATGATATTCATACAATAACCGATTAACTTTCAGAAAATTTTATCTAGAAATATTTTTTGTCTACATCAATGAAAAAATAGTCAACTTTTTCTTAGTTCTTCGCTAAACGATCAACATTTAAGGGATTGGATGTATTGGTCACTTTTGTACTAATTTTGGTAATGTTATGGGTATTTTTACTCCTAGCTGATGACTTCGTGGGTATTTTTACCCCCTTTTTAGTCCACATCAGTAAAGACTAACACGTGGCATACACAGTCAGCATTTAATGGTCAAAGTTAACGGTGCTAAGTCAAAGTTAACGGTCTGTTACTTTTACACCTATCCATATAACGTTATGGGTATTTTTACCCTTTTCATCACTTTAAGATACTGGGTGCCCGTCGCTGACTACTTTGTGAGTATTTTTACCCCTTTACCCTTTATATAAATATGAGAATGTTTTGACTATTTTGAATTCTTTAACTTGGATTACAAATGTGGGAGTATTCAAATTGTTTTGGATCCTTTCAATTCGATTAC